AAAAAAAAAAAAAAAAAAAAAGAATTGTCCCTGAGGAATAATCAGAGCTATGCTGATTATTGAGGGAAACCCCAAGTTAATATGGCAAGAGTTGCTTCAATTCAGCATTTGGCTGAAGCTTTGTAATTTAGAATGCATCTGGCCTTGCCCAGGTAAGGAAAGAGGCAAAGAAACCCTAGCAATTCTGCTGCACAGCTAGGATTATGACAAGAACTATGCATTTTTGGGAGATCAAACTCAAGATCTTGTGCCTGTGAGATAGGTGCAACACTACTGAGCTAAATCCCCAGCCCAAGGAGCTATGAATTTGAAGTGGGAGATTAGTGCTCAGGTTCTAAGTGAGTCAATCAATATATGTGACACAAATGACTTCAACAAATATGCAAGTAGTGATTGAAAAATATGATGAATGCTTAAGTAGTACAGTAAAATACACATTGCTATTAATCCCCTTCAGAATACTCCCCATCATTCTTGCCACTTTCTGAAACAGTTCCCGAAGTCCTCTTTCTTGACTGTCTTTAAAGGGCTTGTTAAAAAATACAGTGAATAGGACCTCGGTAGCTTTATGGCAGTGCATCTGACTCCAACCATACGGTGAATGGTGCTGCCTGGTACCATCCAGTGGAAAGAAAGCAGTCTCATAAAAACATTATGCTGTGGCCTCATTTACCTTATTCACTGGATCTTATCCCATGTGACTTCTGGCTCTTCACCTAAGGTAAATGTTTTAAATTGATTCAGGGCATCAAGGCAGCACAGTGGCATAACTAAAGACATGAAAGAATACTTATAGAACTGCTTCAGAAAGTGGCAAGAATTATAGGATAAATGTGTTTAAAGCAAAAGGTTGTATTTTGAGGAGGGTTAAGGATTAAACCTTTTACTATAATACATTTTTTAAAAAATTTAAACATTCTGCTGTGCCTGCCTTATAAGCGCAAGGTCCTGAGTTCAATCCCCAGTACCAAAAAAAACAAAAACCAAAATTAAACTTTCACTTTATTTTTTTGTCACATTGAATATATGCCTACTTTATGTTACATTTGATAAGCAAGAAAGTTGAAACCCAGAAGTTTGATGACTTCCCCCAATTGTAGTTAATGGAGAAGCTGGAAAAAAAATCCAAGTCTCTGAATCTGAAGCCATACCAAGCTCCTGGTCATGTTAGTGTAGCAGCTTGGTTTCCGTTGGTTTCACAAAGGTTCCTTGTCACTCTCTCTCTCCAAAAACAATATAACAAAAGCTGTCTTCCTGTTATTTGTCTAATAAATATGTATGATAGTAGAATGGTGTGTTATCTTAAACCAGTCTTAAGTGGTTCTTTATCATTGCAACAGTATAGCAAGTATTAACTTTAGTGGGACAGATACTGGAAGAAAGGAGTTGAAGTGGGGCACTATCAGAGCAAGACGCTTGTCAGTTTTGTTGAGTTGTCCTTGGTGCCTAGTTTACACTGTTCCAAATCTAGGCCACCATATATTGGTACCTTAGGTTACTGATTCCTCTTCAGAGCATTTAAATGTTTAATTCTCCTGTAGAGCCTTAAATTGGAATGGGAAAAAAAATTAAAAACGTATAAACAGCTTTGAAAGGTTTTGCCTTGTTCTACATACTGCTTTCACTAAATTAATTTAATATACTAATCAGAGCTCTAATGAATTCTATGAACTGCTAATCTTAGATCAGAGGAAAAAAAACAGTATTAAAATTGGACTGATTTTATTTCCCACAGGAGACTATTTGGAGATGTGGTTGGGGGAAAATAGGAAAAAAAAATCAGAATGTGGTTGTATAATCTCTAGTTTCCTTTATGAGATGTGTTTCCTAGGTCACTGCTCTCGCTGTTCAAGATTTCTGTCTTTCTCTCTCCCTTTTCCTAGCTTTCCCCTTATTTCTTCCCCTCCTGTTCCTTTCTGCCACCACCATCCCCCTCCCTTCTCCAGTGAAACACTTTTGTGCTGTTGCATTCTTTTAGCCATTGGAAAAACTACTCCTACACTGTTAAGGCTATGAATCAGATTTCTAGAGCATTAATTAATTTTTTGCCATTTATAGTTCTGTTCATTCAAACTAATGGGTCTTATAGGCATTTGATTAAGGTGCTGAAGGTTCAAATCAGGCTGTTTCTGGACTTAGGGCCACATTAGGACTGGTTTCAGTTTTGAATGACTTGGTGCTTAGACTGATCCATGGAATCTGCTTTTATGGGAAAAAACAATTGGCAGCACAGTTTGTTCTCTTTTACTTTTCCTACACTTGACTTTTTAGGAGTTGAAATAAGAAGAAGATAGGACCAACTGAGAAGGGAATCCATCCCTTAAGTGGAGGAAGGCTGTCAGATTTGTCAAGAGTGCATTTCAGCCCGAGTGATTAGAAGCATTTGGCCATTAGGAAGAGGCCTCTAAAAATAACTGGTGAGCAGAGTGTGCAGTCAGGTCCAATTTCAGTTCTGTGGCCCTTAGCTGGGCAGAGTTGGCCAGTCAAAGCTCTAGGAGGGAAGGGCATGCATTGTGCCCCACACCTGCCTCGAGCATTTTGAGATTTTTTCTGTTTAATGTATAAATTATTCATGGATTGAAGAAATCAAAATGGCTGATGATAAAGGTATTATTTTTGTACTTCGGGGTTAAAGTGGTTTTGGACCCAGCTAACACATTTTTGCTTTATTTTTAGTTGTGCTCTGAGTATTTTTGACTAAGTGCTTTCATTGCATACTTTATGTTTGTTTTCTACTTTAAACTTCAGGAGGCATTAATTTTCACAATAGTTGCATTTTTTTTTTTTTTTTTTTTAAA